TCCACTGGAGAAAACTGCGCCGCGGCCGCTCTCGCCGCCGGCACCGCCCCCCCTCCGCCCCCGCGGAGGCCCCGGCAGCGCCACGCCCGCACCCGCCCGCCCGCTCCTCGCCAGCGCCGTCGGGCCGGCGTGCGCGGCTCCTCCGCCCGGGTTGCTCCCCTCCGGCGGCCCCGCGTCCCCTCGGGCCGTCCCGTCCCGTCCCGCCCCGCGCGCCTCGGCCGCACCTGCCCCGCGGGTCCCCGCACCCCGCTCCGCTCACCTGGCGCGGGCCGGGCTGTCCCTGGGCGGTGCGTCTGTGGGCGGGGGGAGGCCGGCCAGCGCGGGAGGCGCAGGTAGAGCCGAGCGGGGGAACTGGGTCAGCGGCTAAAAATACCGCGCGGGGTGGAGGAGGATCCGGCCGCGGCGCCCGGGACGGCGGCCGCCCCTCCTGGGGGCTGTCGGCGGTGCCGGGGGGCGCAGGGCCCTCCCCGCGGCCGGGTCGGGGCAGGCTGTGACCTTGCTCCAGCCGGGCAAAGTGCGCTGGTTCAAACTCGCAGCCGACGGCGACAAAACCTGCCCACCCTCGTTTTAATTCCTAAACCGCGTGTGGCTTCACGGGCGGCGTGCGAGGGCCATGGGATGCCCCGGTGCTGCACAGCCGGGGTTCAGTCACCCGCCCGGGGCAGCGGCCGGGCCGGCCGGGCAGCATTCCCCCGGCAGGGCCCTGGCCAGCCGGGCCGGGATGTGCTCCCTCCCGCCCCGGGCTGCTGTGCGAGGCGGCTGCCTGTCATGAGTGTCCACTGCCGCTGTGCCGAACGAGGGAGCGTGGAAAATTCGCTTGTTCTTGCGAAGTTCCTGCATTCTGTTACAATGCGCAGGAGGTGTTTGAGAGTTGTCTGGATCTGGTGCTGGGTGTTATTGCTTAGTAGTTTAGGGGTTGCAGTGGCAGTGCTGGGTTGACGGTTGATCTTAAAGGTCTCTTTCCAACCTCTCTGATTACGTGAAGTCAGCTGAGAGCTGCCGTGGGTCTGAGGTTACTGAAGCGGCACGCAGCAGTGCTAAGGCAATGTCCACGTTACTACAAAAGTCCCAGGAGACTCTAGCTTAGTTTTCCTGATGGCCTAAGCAGTTCAATGCCAGACTTGTGCTAATCTTTGTGTTTATGTGAATTATTTACAAATGCAAACCACATAAAAAATGTGTGAGTTTAGTCGTGACTGGCTGCAACTTTAACTCTGCCTTTTAGCACCCTGTCCATGGTATTATTTGCAGCCACTTCTTTATGCTCAGCATCCTGGTTTTTAGTGGTAGTAGAGTCAATGCTTCCCTCCAAGATTTGTCCACTCAGATTTCGATGGAGAAAGTAGTCTCCCTGACCCCATGGAGTAGCTGCTGGGGCTTTGGCACTAAAGTAGTGGCACTGCCTGTAACACAAGGCAGAGAGGAAGGATCTTTTACTAATCATTACAAAGCCCAAAAAAGTAAGTTATGCCTATGTGATGTCTGAGGAGGAGAAACTTCCAAATGCCAGTAAAGTTGGAAATGCTCACCTGGCACGTCTGGTACACGAGGACACAGCAGGCTTCAGGCTCCCTGTGAGCCAATGTAGGAATCTGTATCCAGCACAGATTTTGTGACTCCACAGGAAATGCTTTCTTGACATCAAGCTAATTCCCTGACCTTCCTGTCCACCCTTCTGTACTATATACAGTTGCTGGCTATTTATATATGTGATGAATATGATTCAGAATTAAACATGCCAGGAAGACAGTGATTCTTTCAACCTAATAATTAAAAAAGGAATACAGCATGATTGCTTTGTTCCATCACCACATGAAAGAGAACTATTTATTTTTATTGTGGTTAGCTTAATAGTAACAAACAAAATATTTTATTCCCATCTATGAAAAGCAATCTTGCCTGTCTCTATGGGCTTCATCCAAAGCGTGCTGGAGTCAGTAGTATTATGCATGGGTTTTCAGTTAGCACATGACTGCAAATCATGTGCTGGATTAGAGCAAGAGTGCTTTTAGGCTACAAGACTGAACATTGTACAGAACTTGGGCACCCTAAGAGGGAATAATGACAGTTTTTAGTGAGGATCTGTATGGTGCTCCAGATCTTGGGAGGCAAATCCTTCAGAAGCACAGCTGAAGCACCCTGGCATGAGTCCACTGCTGTGCCTGGACGTGTGTAGCAAGGGATATGGTGAGATTTCTGTGGTGTCATTAGATTACTGCTCATGTGAAACTGAGTGATAGATGGTTTACATAGCCAGCCTTTTAGCCAAGTTCACAGGCATAGCTCCAACTGTATGTATCAAGGCTAATCTCAATTACAACTTAAAAATGCCTCTGTCTTTGTCGCCGTGGGGATGGTCTGGAAAGTATCGACTGATTGCTACAGCTGAAAGCATTTCGTGTTGATCTTTATGCCACCAAAGATCACAGTTCATTCAGCATTCGCTGAAACCATTCCACTCCAATGGCTCTTTCATTTTTCCTGGGTTTGTTGTTTGTCTAGGCCTTTCATACAGCAGTAATCAAGGAAAAAAAATGTAAACCAAACAGACTTAGATTCTTTTAAAATGAGGTAATAATGAGGGAATGATGTATGCTCCTATACCTTTTTTACCTCCTAAGCTTTTATGGTCCATGCATTTTGAGTTTCAGAAATGTAGGAGGAAAACTGCAGGATCAGGTTGAATGTTGAAAATGAAGGGAAGGAAGCAAGAAAGAAGAGGGAAGAAAGGGAAAATAAATGAGGAAGAGAAATGAAAGAAAAAGGATGATGAGGGGGAGGATAACAAAGAAGAATAAAGCATGGGAAAGAATGGGAGAGACCAGAGCAAGGGGTGAATATCACAATAGGCGTGAAAGGAGTAACAGAGGGTTTTTTATATTCTTTTTTTCTTTCTTGTCAATTGGGATTAGTCACCACAAATGCCTCTAAAGGGATTGGAAGGAAAAACTACCCCAAGATGGATGTATGTCTCTTTAATAATAGATATGATTGCAGCAGGTATAAATAATTTGAAATAGTACCAGGTAACTTGAGTATCCATAACAGTAAAAATGCAGCAGCACAGGATGGCCGAGTCTGTGTCCTGCTGGTATCCAACGTAATGGATGGGTTTGAATAGGTTATTAAGGAACTCAGTTTCTGTTCCTGGCTCTTCATGGTTGCTCATGTACTTTAATATTATATGCAATCATCTAGAAAAGCAGTGTTGTAACAGGGATTGAAATTCAAATGTCCCTGCTCCCAGCTAGGTACCTTAATTGTTGCATTGCAAAGTGATGCCTTGCTTCCCTGGCCCAATGAATGTGGATTAGTTTGTACAGAATAACAGACTTTCAGTAGGGGCAATGAAAGGCATTCCTCCCAGCTAGCCTCTGGCCTGGTGACGAAGGGAATTTCCTGGGAAGTGTCAGATAGGACTTCACTGTTGTCCTTATGACTCTCCAGGTCTATCCTCTGCCTGTTTAGCTGATGAGAGAACCTCTCCTTCCTCCTGCCATGCTTTCAAAAAACACCAAAGTCTAACTCCAGCCCTAACTCAAGAATGAAGTGCTTTAGATGCCAAGAAGGTTCTAGTTGCAATGTCAGTAATTGGCAACTGAGGTTCTTCTCACACTGGTTGTTGGAGATTCTGGTCCAAGGTACTGCTACTTCTGGTGTGGTGGGGAGTGGGAACACATGGCCTGAGCTGTGGGCTTCAGGGCACCAAACTGGTGCCAGAACATGGGGGCTTCAGCTCTTAACACTGCAACAGCTTGGCCTGTGGTGGATTTATAGTTTGTGATAAGTCTTATCCTGGCTGTGTTTGGGAAAACACCATGTTGTGGATTTGTTCATGGTACACAGCAGTGTGTTCACGGGTAATTCTCAGGCATCAGGAGACTGACTTCCGTCAGATGAAATTTCTGCAGGCTGAAGGTTAATGTCTGCTGGTGTGATGGTTTTTTGTTTGTTTGGGGTTTTTTTTGCGGTAGAGAGAGGGTCAGTGGAGATATGTAATGACTGTTGATAACTGCATTTAATTTTTTTGGCAAGTGGTAAGTACTGTTCTCCTTTGTTTGTTTATGCAAACTACATTTAAAGTACTGCATTAATACAAAGCAAACGTCTCTGCAGGCCAATGCCAGTTTTGGTTGAAGAAAAGTATGGCACCGCAGTTGAGAGTCTTCATTATCTTCTAAGTCTCAATTACTAATGAATATTCTTTAATTTTTGTTACCACAAACTTCCCATGCATATGACTTATTTGAATTAAATTGTATACTTCCTGCTTTGACAACATACTGATGAAGTATACTAGAGAAAATCATTAGAAGTATTCCTGCGGAAAATGTTGAAAATGTCTTTGGATCGTAATTTGGGTTCAATCTTGTGATTTTGCTGGTGTTTTACCTGTAATGTGTACAAGTAACATCATTTGAAGAATCCTTGGTATATTTCCTCCATAGTTTAGAAAACAATCAGACTGTGGATATCCTCACAAAAAGTACTGGTACAGATCTCTGGGCTAAATTAGTCACATATGTAATTTTTCTTTCATATGCTTTTCAGTAAAGCAAGGTTCAGATGTCTACTTACAAACAGCACTGGTGGAGAACAGAAAATACTCTGAACGCTTTAACCATTAAGCTGATTGTAGTTTACTTGAATCCATAATATAATACACTCTTTCCTTCATGGGCCATTATCTCTAACCTCTACAATAAACCTCTACATTGTATATCTTATTAATTATTTATTCCTTCCATTATTTGTAAATGGACATTAAAGAATTGGCTAATGGTTTCTAGCACAATTCATAGAAACAAATCTGTTCAATAATTTTTGGAAGCATTTTCTTGTGGCAAATAACATAATAAGGAAAGCATTAGGCTTCATCTTGTGTGGAGTTAAAATACCGCGTTAACTGCTTTATTCCTATTAATATGTCAAGAAATTGAGATAGGTTTTTTTCCTTCCTGATATTAGTGATTGAGAATACGTGTGTTATTTTTCTAGATTATTTTAATTACTTTTCTATTTTTTTCTACTTAAATAAAGAATTGACTAATTTTCCCCCCTTCTTTAGTGCAATTTCAATGAGCTCAGATAACCACATGCAGAATGACAACTGTACTCTTCTGTACCAATTGTTATACCTTGGTATTTTCCACATACACTCTTTCCTAAGCAAACACACTTTCACATAAGCAGATTTATGCAAAACCCCACAAATATGGCTATTTGTTTATTCTGAAAGGGGGGGGAAAAAAGATTGTATGGTGAACACGATGGCCCAGCAGAGTTATTGTTAAAGCAGTATCTTCAATCCATGTGAGTGCAATTCAGAATTTAATTGCCTTTGTCGAGGCAAGGGGGAAGGGATATTACAGCAAGGAAGATGGTTAAACCTTGCAAAAGTATACTGGCAGGGAGGATGGCTACTGGAAGAGGTTAAGTCACAGATCATGTGAAGATGTTTGAGAGATTGATATGTTGCCACAATGTGAATATTTTCAGTCAAACCTGCCTACTTCCTAAGAGAGTAGTGGTGTTATTTGTAGATGTCCTGAAATGACTGAACAGAAAGAACATTGGGAATGCTGGTTTTCACTCATGTTGAACTGGAGCTGATGCTTAAATAACTAAAAGAGCACTAATTTGATTAATGACTTGGTCAAAGGAGAGAGAGACACACCTGTGAAAAAAGTGCCTAGAGATGCTAACTGGTGGGACTATTTGATGTGATAACGAGACGATGGTTGACAATAAATTCCTGTGGCAACCCATAGCAAATTTGAGGAGACAGGGCAGGAGATGCTGGCAGATGAGTCAGAAACCTGAAGTGGGAGATATTCTAACTATTAGAGACAGCACCACACATTTCTTACTTTTGGTCCTTTGTTTTTGTTTCTTTTTTGTCTTGTTGTTGTTTAGGGTTTTTGTTTAGTCGGTTTTTGGTGTTTTGTTTCGTTTATTTAAAGGAAAACAACTTTTTTCTGAAAGTCCTCCTTAAGATCTTTCTGTTAAAGGAACCGTCTGTGGCAGAGAAATGAAGAGACCTATTTTGCACAGACCTATTTGAAAATATTTCTTGCCAGGAAACAAGTGCTTCTGAGCCTTTAAGGCTATGCCTCTACAACAGTTCTAAGATACACTTGCCTTCAGCAATATAACAGTGGTTAACAGAGGTCTACAGAGAAGTTATTAGCACTAAGACTTATTTAAGGGAAATTATTAGAAGGAAAAGATTATATGGCCAGTTTCTTTCTCTACTTTTCAGTGTTTTCATCACTAGCTCACTATAGACTTAATGTATTGACAAAATAAAATTTTGCTCATTCTTATCTGCAGCAAGTGAGCTGCTTAAATGGTACTGAAGATTATTTGCTTCTGTCACTTTTCTATAATTAAGGAACACACAAATTACATTGCTGTTGCAGCATCTCCCCACTGTAGGTTTGGATGTGAGATTAAGTTAGCAGGGTTTACCAAGTATCATTTACACCATGTGGATGTGGGGATGAATAGGCTCTTAGCCAGCAGCAAATATGTGGTGATGTGACATGTTCTGACAGGAGAGAAGACTAAGCTAACTTGCACACGGTTTGCCAGTAGTAAATGCAAAGTAATACATGCTGACAATTCCTGCAGGCCAGCTGATGCATAGTGAGTTGTTAATAGGTGCTAAGTTGATGGTGCTTCTGAGCTCACAAGACAGTGTAATGTAGTGTACCACACTGCTTTTGCTTAGATCCTGTTCTGTCAGTAATGTCTTCTCTGGGTTTCAGATCTGTGTGTGTATGAATGTGTATTTCATTAGACCCATAGCACCTTAATATTGCAAATTGTGTCATTGTTCACAGTGGTTGGAATAGTCCTATTTAGAAGTAAGTATGGTATATGTAACAGGACAGAAAAAAACAGAAAAATGGGAGTAATTGTGCTAAAGGTACTGTGCACTAAACGGAAGCTTGCACCAACAAAATAGAGAGGAAAAGCTGGAAACCAGTTCTGTGTGGCAACAAGATGTCCCCTTCTGAGCCTTACTGAGACTGGATGGAACAAAATGCTGTGGGGAAGCTGTGCTGCAGCAGCCTATGGCAGGATTTAGCACAGACTGCTCAAAGTCAGATAACTGGACAATGAAACCCTTTCCACTTGCCCATCCTCTCTAATATGGACAAATGAATTCCAACATGAATGAAGGGATAGCATATGCTTTTTGATTTGGGGGTTGAAATTGAATGCTATTCACTGTGCTTGAAAGATTACTGAACAATAAGAGATCGGGGAAAAAACAAGTAAATAAAACACAAAACAAGCCTTTTCTACCTGTCATTTTAAAGAAATGGTATTCATTCAATGGGAGCAAGAAAATGAAAGTAAATTTAGGATTTTTTCCCTCCTGTCTGGAAACACAAGCCAAAAGGAAGAAGATGAGAAAACACATACGGAATTTAGAGTGAAAATAATCTAGTGTGTATGGGAGTGTTGGGGTGGTAAGTTTCTTATTTGCACCTAATGTGTTTTAGCCCATGTTTCCCATAGCAGCATAGGTTACTTAGAGGTCTCACATGAACTCATTTCTGAACCAATCCTTATTTTCCTTAGAACAGGTCTGATGTATTAATTTTCTTTCCCCCAATACTCACTGTAACTGATGAAAGAAACTTCTCTAGGGAAAAAACCCTGAGACTGTTGTTCTTGGCTTAGTATTAATGGCTGGACAGACCTTACATAAGAAAATTAAGAAAATTTAGCCCTGTCTAGGCTTCAAGCCACTCAACTTAACAAACTGGACTAGATTACTGGTGAATCAGGTGCATCTGAAATAAGAACAACACTATTTTATTTGAAAATTGCAGGTAAGTGAGACAGGTTGTACATGTATTATGTGTCTACAGCGCTTTTCACCTGGGATGCAGTACGATTTATCTGTGAAATTATGTGTTGTTGATATTTCATACTGTAAAGACAGTGTGAATAAACAAAGCTATTAATAAACCAGATAAATGTTGAATTAATATTTTAGATGTGTTATTTTGGCTATTTTGCAGTCTTAAGGGTTGATTGGAAGTATAATGAACTGTAAGAAAAAAGGAAAAGCCAAGCATACAAAGTTACAAAATCATTAGCAGTGTCTGAGCAATGTATTTCTTTTGTTGATTTAACGTCAGTTCCTTTTTCTGATGGGTCAGTAGTCTTGGATAGTAGGAAGAAAAGTTAAATTGGAATAGAAACAAACATTTTTAGTTAGAAGAAACAAAGCTAGTTTCTTCATTACTAGCTACTTGCTTTCTTGTAGCTGAATGTAAGGCTAGCACATAGATAAGCCACCAAGATGCAATGTTGGAATGTTTTGAAGGCAGAAGTCAGTTAATTTGCACAGGGAATTATAAAAATATGTATGTTTTCTATTGTGACGAGCTTCTGAGTCAGAGATGGAATATGCAGCGGAAGAATACTCATCCCTGCTGTCCCACGTGGCGCCCTCCTTAACCACAGTCTCTTGCTCAGCCTCCTATTAGTGGGCATTTGTCAGTTTTTGTAATTTTCCATAGTCTGACATGGAAACTGTAGTAGCATATAGCATTTTCTAAGCCTAAAATGACTAGAATTCTCCAAGGAATCCCTCTATGCCTGACTTTTCCTACTTTGTATGTATCACAGAAAACTGAAATATCATACTCTGCACACTGACCTGTACTGTGGATTTCATTTGCCATTTACGATGTGCATCTTGCAGTGTGTTTAAAATGGGTATAACAGGCAATGCTGTTATTAAGGGTTACTGATCCTGTCTCTGTGAATATTGGTATAATGGATGGTGGTGCCAACTAAAGCTGATTATTTCCTGCTCTTCAGCACTGCTGTCTCCGTGGAAGTTGAAGCTGCAGACTTCCTTAATTATTTATGCTAGTCCAGAAACTGAAAACAGTAGGGCTAAGTATAGTGGAGCCTTCTGCCATAGTCAGCCCTTCTTTCTTTTAAATACATGGCTTGAAGGTAAGCTAGCAAGGTAATCTTTCAGGGAGAACTGTGGGCATTTTAAATATACCCTGGAATACTTGTGCAGTACACTTCTCCCAGGGACTGAATGAATCATTGTGTAAAATGCTTCTGAAAAGGAGCCATTTTCCTGCCTTAAACCTGTATGCAGACAGTACATAAAAGTCAACCTCTCTGCATATGCTGGATATAGTTCAGGAACTGCTGCTAATAAGGTTTTATCCCAGTGAAAAACCTGAAGATTCCTGATTTTAGACAAGGATCAGACAGAACTATTAGCCTAGGCTAGTAATAGAATAAAACATAATCCTTGAATTGCATGTTTCCTGACAAGGTTTCAAAGTACTCTGTAAAGTGGTTAAAACATATTTCCTACATATATGAGAACAGTATCAAAGAGTTCAATGACATGATAAATGATACAGAGAA